AATTTTTGAGACAACCCCCCCCCCCCCCCCCCTTGATGCATCCTAACAGAATGTATTTTGCATAAATCTACAGACAACAGATTACTAGATGTTGTTACCAAAAACAGTCAATCTCATCAAGCAGTATATATTCTCCGAGAATAATTTCCGCCCCAACAATCCTCTTCATCACCCCAAAATTGAAAATGTATTTAGGATTACAGGCTACACAACAAACAGGTAAAAAGAAGACAAGAGTCTATAAGCGCCTTCACAAAAAAAAACAATCGACACATGTAATGCCATGAGGGATGGCCAGAGACAAATTTCATTTTCATCGAAAGGCAGACATTCAAATTTTAAGAAAGAATTGATTTCGGTTAAACTAAAATTGGAGCACCTTCTACATGGATAACAGAAAGGAATACCAAACAATCTTGCAGAAGCATTTCAAATTGAGGTTGATAAACACAAACCAATCTGAAGCAAATATCCAATTATGATCACAATTGACTTTCTCAAAAGGGCGAATTGTTATGATAAATATCAAACATTTTCATCACAACAAAAGACTATCTACAAAAGGTGTAATGTAAATATTTTCCAAGCAAAAAAAGAATCACCAAAACTAACTAACACTCACAAGCATCATTGAACCAGAAAAGAGGAGCAGGAGCAGTGTACACTCAGGGCAAAAACTTCAGGAAAAGCACAGAGAAACCAAGGGTGATCAAAAGAATTTTGTGAACAAGATAGAGTTGGGGCCAAGTGTCTTTGTATCAAGTCAATCAGAAAAAATCTGAGACAAATCTCACAAACAAATCATGTTTTGCAATCAGAATCAGATGCTCAAGACAAGAGTATCAAATCCATCCATCAGATAATCAAGCCAAGGCAAACAAACAAAACAAAATAAAATAGTATTTATTCCCAAAACTGAAAGAACGTCCATCAAAATCATTTGATATTCCAAAAAAAGTAACAGTGAGAAAACTCAAGAGTATCTCATTCATAAAAACTGAAAGACTTAGAAAAAAGAGAGTGAGCCAATTACATCAGTAACTGAAACACAACTCAATATAAAGAGAACCAACAAAACCAGCCAAAACCAACAGTTGGAAGAAGAAACCAGTAAAGACTAGAGCAGAGAGGAAAAATTAAAAACACAAAAAAAAAAAAAAAAAAGACAGTGAATAAGAAAATGTTGAAAAAAATGACATCATTGAACAGAAGCAAATTGAACTCACTCACTCACTCACTCAAAGGATGAGTCATTGCAGGAGAAGAAACCCATTAATGTTGAAGCGAAAAGAGAGAGACTCAGAAGAGATTGGGAATCAAAAAGTAATCTTTTGCTTTGTGAGATGCCTTAGAAAAGCAGAAAAGAATGGGGATTTGGATCCGCAGTGCTGGGCCATTCTCTCAATGAAGATTTTGCTTTCTCTCAGAGAAAGAGAGAGAAAAAAACAAAGAGGAAAGACCCCCCCAAATGAAACCCACAAAACAACGAAATTTACATCAAATTGGAAATTAAAGTTGTCAAAATAACTTGTCTCTCTCTTCTTCGTCTCTTTCTTATTTATGTTTTTGGATTGTACAAGTTTTCGACTTTAGCATTTATCACTGTATAAAATATTTTGCATGGTTAATTAATAAGTTGTTTTTAGTATGATTTTAATATAATTATTAAAGTTAATAAATTTAAGAAATATAGCTCTAGTATATATTAATCATTAAAATATATTACTTATTTTTACTTTTTTGGATATATAACTCATTTGGTTTATCATGTAAGAGACAAAAATTAAATTTATAATCATATTAAAAATAATTGAAAACATATTTAATCTTAATAAAATAATATATGCATATCTTAATATATTACGTGTTATTTATTTTGAAAATTAACCATTTATTTTTATCAATTTTATAGATATTTTTTAGAAGAAAAAAACATTTTGTAAATAATTAATTTCTTTAAATTTTAATATAATTGTTTTCTTTTCTGAATAAGCTAGATTACATTTAAATATGTATTACTTTCTACTTTCTCTCCGGATAGAACATATTTTCATCAAAATAATAATATAAGCATTGGCTTTATTTGAACTTTATTATATTATTTTTTTGCATACCCCTAGACCCTAGTTATTGCAACAAGGAATCAGAAAGATCTTTCTAAAACTACCTTGATCTTTCCTATTGAATTTTTTAATTGGTTTTGGATTGTTACATTCTCTTTGGTATCTTGTTATTTTTATTAGTTCCCAAGTGCAGGAGTCAGAAGTGGGGTCCCCTATCCCAATTTTGAAGTAACAAGCATGTAAACTATGTGAGCTTTAACTAGGTCATAATAATATGAATGGTCCTATCCTATAGTTCCACCATTATTAAAAGCGTATATATTATTGTTTGTCTCTCACGGCATCAAATCAACCTAATTAATGGAATGGAAGGTGACCCATTGTAATCAACCCCACGATTAGTTTATTCCACCACTATTGGGAAGTTAATTTAGTCCTATCATTTCCTTATATATGGTAGTTGGATTTTATGTTAAGTCACTTGAGTTTGAAAACACACAATTCTCATAAAGACCAACTAATTTGAATCCCTAATTAGGATTATTTTTAAGTTTGTGTTTAGTTAATGTTTCATTTAAGTCATTTGTTTTCTTAAAAAAGACAAGTTTAAATTTAAAATTTAACTTTTTAAAACAATAATTACACGTGTTCAAATCTAATGTCTATGTATCCTAATCTCATCACTAGATTAAAAAAATAGAATCGAATTTTATATAAAATTATTACTTAATGAAGTGTATTTATCTTCTAAAATATTGTAATTTTTACTCTTTTTAATTAGGCTATTTGTGCAATATGTACGAATTGTTTAGACTTGATATTTGTAAATTTTTAAATATTTTTTAATGTTAGCTTAATACAATCAAATGTAGTCAATTTAAATAACTTTTTTTATCTTTTGCATATATAATTTAGAGAAATATCAATTACACTTTGACGCGAAAACGTGTATATTAATAATACCACTTTTTCCTTGATTATTGGTTTATGAAATGTCTTTATTGGGCATCATTTTTTTTTTATAATTTAAGATAATCAAATAATATTAATTTTATATCTTATAAAAATGATAGGTGTCTGAAATGTTTAATTGAGAACAAAAACAATTATATTAATTATATATATATATATATATATATCAATTCTTATATATTAAATATAAACATATTGTGAGACTCCCTTTTTCCTTTTCCTTTTCTCTCCCCGACACTCTTTGCTCACTCACACTCTCTTCTCACTCACTTTTGGCTGATACACTCTCTTCTTCCCTCTCAAACTCTCACTTCTCCTCTTTTGCTTGGATTCTAGGTGCTGATTAGAGTTGTTTGAGTGTGCCGGACGAATTTCCTTTCTTCCTCGTTGAGTTTCTCCTCATTCTTCCTTGTCATTTTCCGAAGCTCGGAGCCGTTGAACCGAGGTAAAGGAAGCTAGATTCTTCACTGTTTTTGGATGCAAATGAGTTCAAGAAACTCATCAGTTGTTGAAGTTGGTTGTTATTGGCTGAGTTTTGAGGAAAAATGGAGTTTTCGGGGTTTCGGGGTTTTTGAAGAAGATTTGGGTCTTTCTTGAATTTGTGGTTGCATGTTGAAAATGAGGTGTTTTTCTTGATGTTTGATGAAAATGTGGACTTTTGGATGGATTGCATGCTGGTTTTCTGGTTGTTTTTGCAGGGTTGGGTGAAATTTTTTAACTTGGTGGGTTGCTGCTGAGCCTCGCGCTGAGCGCCGTTCTTCACGCCGGGCACGAGACCACCTGGTGGCTCCTTTTAAGCAAGCCCGCCGGGCACAAAGATGTGTGCGCCGGGCGAGCTTGAGAAGGTGAGCCTCTGGATGGCCCACGCGGGGCTTGACATGGACCGCGCCGAGCGCACTGGCAGTATGTGACATGCTTTGGGGTTCTGGTTCCACGCTGAGCGTGACCCTCGTCGTGCTAGGCGTGGGGACTCCTTGGGAGTCTCTACCTTGGGAGCGCTGGGTGCAAGACCTTGGGAGGTCTTTGCCTTCCCCACGCTGGGCACGAGTTTATGCACGCCGGGCGCGTGAGACTCCTTAGAGTCTCTACCTGGGGTGCGCTGGGCGCAATTGGTATTGCGCCAGGCGCGTGTGAGCCTTGGGCTCTCTGGCTGGGTCCCGCCGGGCGCGGGCATGCTTGCGCTGGGCGCGCTGGCCCCCTAGTGCTCTCTGGTTGCACTGCGCTGGGCGCAACCATGAGTGCGTCGGGCGCGGAGGTGAGATTTCACTAAATTCTGTTAGGAGTTGTTTTATGCTGAGTATAAGCCGAAATTGATGAATATGATGTGCTGACTAGTAAATAATGTTGTTTGATGATGTTTAGTTGTGTTAGATGTTATTGCTGTAAGTTCTGTTGTGCTGTGTGCTAACAAGATGAGTTGTGTTGTATGTTGTTAAGTTGTGTTGTGCTGAATGCTGATATAAACTGTTGTAGGCCGTAAGGCTGAGCTGTTGTAGGAGATCTCCGAGCTGATATGTGTGACGACGCATTGTGTGCTTATTGCTATTTATGCTGTATAGTTGATGAAAGTATGCCGATGATGTGTTGATAGTTGTAGCTGTTCATATTTCATATATATGTTTAATATGCTGATTATTTACACTAGCTTACCCTTTATTGTTTCCATGTGTTTGGACTGCGATGATAGTGGCAGGTCTGCAGCTGGCAGATAGAGGAGTTTATTTTGTTGATATTTTGATGTTTTGGGCCATCATTTTGGCTACTTTGGGCTGTATCTATACTTTGATGTTTAGCTCAGACTAGACCTCATGTATATGGGTATATACTTGCTCTTATCTGTGTGTATGTTGTGACGTTGGGTAGTGTGTAGTGACCAGCCGGGTCGTTACACATATATCTCATAGGATAATATTTTTAGAAACTTATGAATTTTTTTTTAAAAAAAATTAACTTCTTATTTGATTTGATTTTTTATTTATTATAATATTTATAAATTAAATATTAACATTTTAAAATAAATTACCTATAAATAAAAGTAACTTTTTTTCTTACAATAATGGCTTTAATTGTGAGTCCACAGCTTTAGCTTCAACTCTCTGGAGCTTCAAATTGCATTTCAGATTTTCACAGCTATAGCTGCAGATCCACAGCTATAGTTGCAGATCCACAGCTATAGCTCCAACTTTCTGGATTTCTATATCCTTCCCAGACTTCCACAGCTCAAGCTCCAGATCCACAGCTATGGCTGTGGATCTCTGCCTTGCCAAAAATCCTGCAAAAAATGAGGAAATTCCTTAAGATTGCTACTACTCCTCTACTCTTATAGTATAACTTAATTCTTTAAATTAAGTGGGTGAAATTAATAACATATATATTATCTACAATTACCCAAAAAGAGTACTAAAAGTTGAGTGCAAATCAAGCCTAAAAGACACTCAACACCGTCAGGCAGGCCGAACCGGACCGCCTCCCTCAAACCACTGCCCCCAAGGTCCAGGTACTCAACTCAATCGCCGTATCTATTATTTGAAGGTGTAAATTTTGTAACTGATAATGAAACTCTTGCTGCCATATCCATATGTTTTTATTGCGCTGTCAGCTACATTTTGTTTTTCCCATGGTGCATTTCAGTGAACATATTCAACTCTATGAATCATTGAGTTTCTGGGTTTGTTTGTTGAGTATCTCTTGCTGAGTACTATTTAGATTCATAAGTGCCTTGGTGGTACTGAGCTATTTTTTCCTGTCTTAAATATAATGTTTTTAAATGAGAACTAGATTTTGTGCAGTCCAATTTTTGTTGATCATGTCAACGAGTTGATTTGTTGAAAAATCTTCCTTTGCATATATGATGTTCTATTACATCCGTTTGTAAATGCATTATTTATTTTTGTTGTTATTATTATTCGTCTCTTGTTTTGATGTGATTGCTTGTTTATTTGCAAACAGTTGGAAGAAGAAATATTGAAAGATCAAAGAGAGAAGGAGGAATTAGAGCATCATTTGAGAGAAAGAGATGCAGCAAGGACACGGAAGGTACTTGTCAATGTTCAAACGATTTGGTCAGGTGTACTTGGTTATTATTCTTTTAACTATTGTTATTATTATTGGTTAATACCACTACTTTAGGGTGTTAGTTAGTGGCTACATAAATGCTTTTTTATGGGTAAAAGAATATTTATTGGAAAAAATGAGGAAAATTATGATGAAGATGGTTAAAAAATGTGTGAAGATATATGCCAGTTATATTTGTTTAGGGCTAACTTAGATACTAACTGTATCTGAGTGCAGAAGATTTTCTGGACTTTGCTATTATCAGCCATAAATGCATGTGGAATCATACTTATTGCTCATAACATTATGAACTTCTCTAGTTGTCCTTTTAAAGCTTGTTAGATTCTTTAATATAATTGAAGAATATAATGATGCTTATATTAGTAGCACATTTACCAAGTTAAATGCTTAC